AGCCTCGGGCCCGGCGGCATCGCGCGGTGGCCGCCGGCTCGCGCGCGCGCTGCGGCTCGCGCGCGTGGCTCGCGTGCGGGCTCGCGCTCGCGCCGCTTGATGGGCGCTGTGCGCGGCGCGCGCTGGTGGAGCGGCTCGCCTGCGGTCGCGGCGCGGCGTGCTGCCGGCTGCTCGCGTGGCGCTTCTAGCATCTCGCCTGGGACAACGCGATCGTGAGCGCCTGCGCGTTGCTGCCCGCCTCGCACGGCCGCGCGGTGTGGGCGTTCCCGCCCGAGCTCGCGGAACGGCGCATGCGCGCTCACCATCGACGTTGCGCGCCTGGCCGCGACCCGGCGGCACTTTACGAGCTGCTCGACGCGCTGCGGGCCGGCGGCGCGAGGGCCACATTCTTCGTGACGGCTGGCTACGCAGAGTGCCTCCCTGACGAGCGCTCTCGATGGGCAACTGGACGGCCGGCGCAGTGGCCGCGCATGGCGCCTCGGGTCAAGGCCGAGTGGCGCGCAGCGGTGCGCACGGCGCTGCACCAGCTGGTGCGAGAGGGACACGAGTTTGCGACCACGTGCCCGCCGACCGGCCGTACGCGCGGCAGTGCACGGTAGACGAGGAAGGGCTTCCGCGCCGAGTTTGCGCGCGCGGCCGCCGTCGCCGCCAACGCCAGTGCGCCCGCCGCGGCGCCGGCGAGCGAGGATCTCGGTCTGGCGGAGCCGGCGCGCGGCATGCTCGTCGCTGGTTCCACCCGCCGCCGAGCGCTACGCTCACGCCGCAGATGGGCGCAGGTCGTGCGCGGGCTTGGCTACCGCATCGCGCTGTGCAACGCGCCTACTCGAGGCCGACCCGTGAAATCGCTCCAGTTATCCGGAATTCGACCCACTTGTAGTTAGTTAGTTAGTTAGTATGATCCTCTAACACACCCGCAAACGCCATAGGCGTTGAGGGAGGTGGCTTCCATGATATCTGCCGCAATGGGAGGGGGCGCTCAGCCCCCCTGAGCAGTGCACAATCAGCCTCGGACTAAGACAGCCTTTATGAAGATGGCTACACGTGTGCGTGCTCGACTGGTAGCCACACGGCGACGCGGCCCACGATGCGCCGCCTGTCAGTGAGTGATATGGGAGAGATGCGACCCCCGTTTGATGTACCTGAATGCCGACCGGGGCGCACGCCTCGGCCGCGGTGGCCGCGGCGACCGCGGCGGACAGGGCACACGCACCTTAATAGTCGTGAGCGTTGTGTAAGTGGGGGGGAGGGGGGGGGGGAGCCTGTGGCAATTGCTACGAGTTCACCACCAACCTCACCTCTACCACCACCATCCCTGCTGCCAGGACTAACGTCTGATGTCGACCAAGTCAGTGAGTGAACAACACCTGTTGAACCATGCTGAGCCGCTATATATATATGTACCTGAATGCGATCCCCAAGTCCCGCGAGCAGGCTGGACACCGCTGGACGTACGCTGTAGCAGCGTGCCGTACATCAGCTTTCATCGGATCGAGCGCTGTTAGCATTGGACCCGGGATCCGTGGCCCCGGAATCCGTGGCGGCCGGCGTTGATGGTTTTGGCGGTGGCGCAGCTGCGCTCGCCTTGCCCTTCTTGTCCGATGCCCGCGGTCCTCGGCTTCACCTTGTGGCAGGAAAGCACGTGCGGCTTCTTCTGTTGCGCGTGCGAGTGGTACTGCTGTGCAGGCCGTCAGCGCGGATTGAGTAAGTCCGAGCTGCTCTGCATGGCGATCTGCTCTGCACGGCGTTCCAGCACCAGATCGGTCAGCGAGGGATCCGTTGACGGCGGATCGGGCCGTCGACGTGGCTTGGAGGTGGTGCCTCCTTCCCCATCTCGCTGTTCCGAAAAAATGCCGCTGCAGCTGCGGCTGCGAGCGGAAGTCCAGCGTGGATCTCGAAGACATCATGCAGTATGCTGACATCAAGGTCCAGGGAGGTCGCGCAAGTGGTGCCGCTAAAGCCTTGGGATCGTCTTCGTCTGCTTCATCGCCTGGAACATCGCTCTGGGTGATCTGGCGGAGTGCAGCTTCTTATTACCGAGAGGTCGGAGCGCAGTGCGCTCGTCGCTCTCTGGACGAGGCACGAGGTCACATTTAGTTAGTTACATGCTGCAAACGGCTCGATCTCATATTTCGCCGACTCGGACTACGTGTTGCCGTTGGGCGGAGCCAAATAGAGAGAGACAGTCAGCAGTTTGGCGGAGTTGGACCGCTCACTGCTTAAACATGAGCTGCCACTGCGTGTACCAGTTCGCACGGCTAAATGGCGGCGCGTTGACCTGCCGCTCCAGCCAACCGGTGACGGCACGCAGATTGCAGCAGCCCGAGGAGGAGGTCAGACAGTACTCGCCGCCGAGGGCGCAACAGGGGAACGCCTTCGATGCGATCGTGCTTACATTGACCGGCAGCAGCGAAGAGGAGACCGATGCCAGGTGGAGTGTCGGCGAGTCTCGGAACTCGTTGCGGCGGCTGCGGGGGAAGCCGATGATGTTGCGGCAGTCCCCGCGCACGCCGCAAGGCTCCTCCACCAGGAAGCTATCGTAGCCATTGGCTGAGAGCTCTCGCAGGAGCTCGCGGGTGAAGGTAATATTCTGATGCTGTGTGACAAGGGGGACAGGGAGGGGCAATTGCAGTGTGTCAGAGAATGAAATTATGATAGCACAGTGAGAAGGTTCACACCCACCAGTGTGTTGGGAGGCAGGGAGGGGCAGTCGCAGTTCTCGAGCTGAATAAATTATATATTATAAAGCAGTGTGACAGTAGGATATCGACGTTGTGGTAGTACAGTGAGGCACAAACACTCACAACGTGTGCTTCCACGGTTACCACCGGCTGATCACGCGCGAGCACGGCGCGTGCGCCTTTGAGCACGTTCAGCTCAAAACCCTCGACGTCAATGTGCGCAAAGGCGAGCTTCTCGTTGCCAAAGAGGCCCCCCTCTGAGAAAAGCTTGTCGAGCGTGTGGATAGGGAATGAGGTGTTGCTCTCACGTGCGTTACCCCGAGGCTGCTTCGGCATGGTCATCTGCCCGCGCGTCTTTTTGGCCCCGGCGTCGGCCACCGACTCTTGCGCGTCCAGCCCCCCTACGTGCATGTGCATATTGGGCGCATCCGCGCCGAATCTGCGTATCGCGCGGTCGACGTTTGCCCGAAGCGGGTCGAGGCCGTGCACCGTGCGTGAACGGTCAAACGACGCGTACATGCAGGTCCAGTCACCCATAAGTGCTCCCGCATCGATGACGGAGCCCGCCGGGATGCGGCGCTCGTTGAATAGCCCGGCGATGATCGCTGCGAGGGGAGCAGGGGGGGGGGGCGTGGGGCGTCAGTCCAAGTCGGCGCGCGCCGCGTGGCGCGGCGAGGGCGCGCGCGCGCGGCGTGCGTGCGCCGTGGGCGGGTCGCACGGTGTGCGAGGCGCGAATACTGTCGAGGAGGAGCTCTGTTCTGGGCAGCGGGCAGTACACCATCGTGCCTAGCTCTGAAGTTGTGAACGGCACCGCATGCACGCCCGCTGCGGGCGTCCCGCGGAGGCACCTCTACCCGCCACGCACGAACTTATGCCGCCTGCGCCTGCTATTCTTCGATTAATAAGGCAGACCAAAGCAAAAGTAACCCCTCCCCCTTCCGCTGCCATCGCCTACAAGGTCTCCTGCTAAAGCGGCTGCGGGAAGGGGAAAGGGGGGCAGTGTAATGAAGGGGGCTGTGTAATGAAGGGGGGCAGTGTAATGAAGGGGGGCAGTGTAATGAAGGGGGGCAGTGTAATGAAGGGGGGCAGTGTAATGAAGGGGGGCAGTGTAATGAAGTGGGGCAGTGTAATGAAGGGGGGCAGTGTAATGAAAGGGAGATAAGTTAAGTTCTTCTCATTCATATAACTTATCAATATAACTGATTATTATAACTGACAATTATAAATACCTGTGGGAACGCCTCCTCGCCAACCTTCGTAGCAAAAATTGTAAAAATAAGCGCATAATAATTGCCTCTTTTATCACATGCGCGTATTTCTGCAAATTTGTTTAAGCAGGTTTCTTATTATGCATAATATATCTTAAAAAAAAAAAAAAAAAAACCTTGCACGACGCGCACATCTCCGGGCGGCCGGCGAGCTGGCACGTGGGCGCCTGCGCGAGGTCGATGCGCGTGATGGTCGCCTTGAGCTGCCCGATCGCGCGAAGGCCTCGTCTGCAGTCATGTCGGCGGGATCGGCGGGTGCAGTGTTTGCGACAGCACATTTCGGAAAAACAAGCAGCAATTTAAAAACAGCGTTTCGGATCTCTATGTAACTTTAAACAGCAAACAGAAAGCCCTCGATTTTAGAAAACAGCGCCAACGGCTTACACCACCTCTCTCAGGTAGGGACGCAGCCCGCCTCGCGCGCTCGAAGGCGAGCCGCGCCCGCCCTTGAGGCGTGCGCTCACCAACGCGCGCACCACCACTGCACGCGCCGCACGCGACTTACCCCCCCCCGACGCGCGCGCGCTCGCCGGGTCGCGTCGCGCGCTCGAGCACACCATCTCACCTTCCGGCTTCCAAACATTCCCCTGCCCGCAGTCAACTCTCATCATGGCTGGCAAGAAGAAGAAGTTGACCTCGCGCTCGGCCAAGGCTGGCCTGCAGTTCCCGGTTGGCCGCGTCCACCGCCACCTCAAGCTCGGCCGCTAAGCGCTCACGCGTTCGGCTCGTTCGACCGTACCGCACCGGCAACGTCGACGTGTCGACGTGCTACCTATGTGAGCACCCATCCAAGTCTTGCGCACCCTCCTCGGATGTGCAAAAACCCGCGCCCTCA